GCTTTCTGTCTCTATGTCTCTCTCTGTCTGGTGAGCGCACACGCCCTATGGCGAAAACCTCTCCAATAAATAAATAAATAAATAAATAAATAAAATAGAATACAAAATACAAATATCTAGGATGTCCCTATATTATTTCCTGATCAAAATGCTTACAGGCAATATTATTTCTTGATTGCCAAAGCTTAAATCCAAGATTTTATTTTAGCCCATGAGGTTATTCTTTCATTGTCCTAAGTATTGCTCACTCCTGTATTCTTTTACTCTTCTGATTTAGGCTTCTCATCTTAATTTGATTTTAGCTGTATGTGTTTGAGCCTACATATAACCTTAAAAATTCTTGCTACTCAACAAAACTCAGCAACCATATTCTTACCACCAAGAGAGTTATAGTCTTGCCTTCATTCTGCTGGCCATGTTGGAGGTCATTGTGCTGCTTTGGAAGCCACAATATTAAACATAAATAAAATAATTGACACCAATTAGAAAATGCCTCAAATAATATCCAAATATATTATTAAAACTGCCATAGTCCTCTATGCCAGAATGAGAGGTAATGCTCCCTAGAAGCTGTGGTTACTGATACAAGCCAAGGGGGTATTTTTTCTCTTAAGTGTACTTATTTCTATATATGTAATAGATAAACAGTGCACGCAGTTGCTCAAATAGCACCACAAATGGGCTGTTTTCTGGCGGAAACTTTCCCTAGTCCCATCTTTAACTATTGGGTCGTCGGAAAAGTCATGATGTATTTTCCTACATGTTTCTATGCAAAAACGTGTCATGACTTTTCCAACAACCCAGTACTATGAAGACCTAAACTTACTCCCTCTGCTTTGCCAAAGGCAACTTAGACCTTCTTAGATCCAGTCACCTTGCCCTAAGATTTCCACGTCTGGAAAATGAACTCTAGAATTCTCTCGGTATATGAAACATCAGTGGCCTATGACATCTGAAGCAAATCATGTGCCTTTTGAGGATATGCATTATGGTCTATCTTTCAAAGGTCTATGACCTGAATCTTATAAACACACACACACGCGCGCGCACACACACACACACACACACACATAGACATGAAATGTATAATAAATCAAACGTGATAAACCTGTAGCCTTTAGGGAATCCAAGTGAAGGACGTACAGAAATTCACTGCACTACTTGAAAAATATTTTTATTTGTTTTGTTTACTTCTTTTTTTACATTCAGTCACTGCACATCCTTACTATAAAATGAATATTCCCAGCATCATTTTTGTAACTTTCTTCTAAGTCTGAAATCATTTCAAAACAATTTTTCTTTTAAATCCTGAATCTTGGCTGGATCCATGCCCAGGAAAAGTTTTGACTTGGAAACATGCCCAAGAAGACAGAAATCTACGGAGTCCTTGGCACCAGGGAAACTGTCCTCTGTGACTCCAGGGGTTCAACCCTCTGGTTCCTGGAAGTCTGAAAGGGGCAGTAAGAATTTAGCCAATTAGCCCACAATGGCTCCTCCCATACTATGAAGAAAAGCTGAGGATTTGGACAACAGTCTGAAGCAGATGGTATTTTGAACTCACCAATGATAAGCACAGGTCAGAAAGAGGTTTTTCAGCCCTTTCTGAATCTAGATTTTTCAGCATCTCTCCTTGCAATGAATCTGCCTGTGTGCCGCCATGAGCATGTGTGCCTTTATGTTCATGGGTGGGTGAATGTGTGTACTGTGCAAGTTTGTGTATGTGCTGTTTGATAGTTGTATGTGTGTGTGTGTATGCTATGTATTTAACTCATGGCCAATATAGCACGTGTATAACCAGTTATCAGTCTCCTGAGCATGTGATTTAGAGACTCCTAATTCATGTCACGATTTTAAATATTTTCCTCACTATCATTCCAACTCTAACATTTCCCCCATCGTACGGGCATCACAGCTGAGTGGAAGACACTTCAGCATCACCATCTGCTACACTGCCTGACAAAGAAGATGCCTGAAGAACTCAACAGAGAACCAGTATCAGAGAGGATCATATCTTATTCTGTTCAGCAGTATGTGCTAGTGAATGTGTGCATTGTGTTTATGGGTGACACACGTGTGAGAACAACCATGTGTATCATTTGCTCTTGTTCTGTGTATATGTTACCATGTGTATATTACTACCCTCTTGGTTTGTCATTGGTAGCTTAATGATTGTACATGTGACTGAGTGGGTTTGACTGTCCAATGATGACCGCCTTCACCCAATCAGAGTATGAGTTAGAAGGAACTCTCAGTAATGGGAGTGTGTGTGTGTGCACACTGCACATGTGGCTAGATGCTCATAATGGTGGTATGTGTTTCCTCTGAGATTGATTTATTGATTTTGAGAAAGACAGAGAGGCAGATACCCGTAACAGTCTTGCCACCTTGCAAGCCTCCTCATAACCTACCAGTCAGCCAGCATCACAGGTAGTAGAAGTGCAGGCACACCAGCATGTTCAAGTCAATCCGGACTCGAACCATGGTCTCCCATGTAACTCAGTGTTGTAGAGTGGTGTCCTAGCACCTATGTCACCACAGATGGGCCTCTTGTGGGATGTTCAAATTGTGTGTAGCCTCCTGTGGTTTGGATGATGTATGCATATAGTCAAGTTTATGTAGTATGTTAATCATGCATCTTACCAGGTTTGTCCTGCCTTTGTGTCAATGATGTACCATGAATGTGTCTGTGGGTGGTACATCATTGCTTATCATATATATTTTACTTTGCATGGTATCTATAACTTGTAGGTATATAAGGGTATATGAAAATGAACCACATACTGTTTATCTTTCCCTTAAGAGGGCCTGGACACAGATGAGTAGGATCTTCAAATCAGCAGTTGTGAGTGTGTGAGTGTGCATGTTTTGTGTGTGTGTGTTTGTGGGTTTGTATGTGTGTTTGTGAGCTTGTGATATACACCATAACTTCAAATGTTTCCTGGAGTGACTTCTTTCTGGAGTATCATCAGTTGAGATGGCGATACCCCAGACAACTTCCTGCTGTTGTAAATGATCTTCTATTATTTTCATATACCCATTATTGAGTAACTCAGACTTCAGTGACCCTTCACCATCACCAAATGTGTCAGGCAAAGAAACAATAAGCATCATTCTGTGAAGTCAGCATGCAGAGAAAGTCATTCTTAATGCTCTGGCCTTGGCTTAAATAGCTATCAAATGGAATCTTACAGACTCTCGGTAAATATTTATGGCTTGAGCACATGTTAATGTGAAAACCTTTTGTCAAGTAGAAAATGTATAAATAGGAATGAAGGAAATTGTCTAGGCAAGTCCCTAAAAATCACTTGAAACAACTTCTGTTTTCTGTAGCCCTAGAATAACACAGGGAGCCTAGCACTCATTAACAATAAAAGGGAAAATATCTTTGAGTACTACTTAAAGCATGGGGTCTAATAACACAATCATATTACTGATAGACTGAACTATAGAAATTAACCACTATTTGGGACTGGCAGGAGGCATGGTGGTTGCAGGTGCTAGATTCCCACATGGTTGACCACAGTTCAAGTCCTGGACCTGGAGGCTTGGTTTCTCTCTCTCTCTCTCTCTCTCTCTCTCTCTCATTCTGTGTCTCTGTGGTCAAATTAAGATAAAGAAAGAAATAACTAAAGTTAAATAAAATAATTATTAAAATAAGTAATTAACCACTATTTAATTACTTCCAACATATGGAAAATGGCAATGATATTTTATGACTATATGAATAGATACATAAATATGGATACAGATATCTCCAAACACTACTGCTAAGTGCCTGTGGAATTTACATTTCCTTACAGTGTAAATAATTCAAAAATACTAATTCTTAAGGCAGCTGTAATTATTTTAACTAGAATATAAGGCTGAAGTGTGGATTTAATCAAGAAATGTAGGTAAAGTCCTTAGTGTGGCATCCCCAAATATTCATCACTATTATGAAAGGTAGTTTGTGGACTCTTCTGATTTGGCAGCTATTCTGGCAACAAGAGTTTTTAATGAGTCAATGACTTTACAATAGGATATATGGTTCCCAGGAAGAGTGTGGCAATGTTTGTAAGTGATGCTGCCTCAGTACTGGCAGTTTCGCATTCTGTTAAGATCAAAACAATTGATACCTGCTTACTGTAATCTGTCACAGTGAATTATTACAGCCTGACTCCAACTCGATGTCATAAATGATCCCATTTTACTCATAAAAATCTCTGGTCCTAGATGGCAAGAACCTTGCTTTTCTTGTTCACAGTTGCATTCTGTCTTTAGTAAATCTCCAGGTATCCAACAAATAATGGTTAAATAAAGCAGTGAGAACTCTCTTGTCTCTGTGCAATGAGATCTTGCGGGCTGTTGTGGGGTGTGATGTTTTCCTAGAGCCAGGTTGGGACAGAACAAAGTTTCATGCATCTACAGGTATGGAAAATTATAGGTTGTGGCTCAAAGGCATAATTTTTTCAGAGATTTACAAGATGGAAGGTATTTCTATCATCCTTTCTGATATTCTAAATTTCTTCCATCTCCAGCAGATAGAAGAGCAACATGAGGCTAGAGAACCAGAGCAGCGTATCCGAGTTCTTCCTCCTAGGGCTCCCCATCCGGCCAGAGGAGAAGGGCCTGTTCTTCGCCCTGTTCCTGGGCATGTACCTGACCACGGTGCTGGGGAACCTGCTCATCATCCTGCTCATCTGGCTGGACTCCCACCTGCACACCCCCATGTACTTCTTCCTCAGCCACCTGGCCTTTGCTGATGCTTCTTTTTCCTCTGTAACAGTGCCTAAGATGCTGGTGAACATGCATATTCAAAGTCAATCTATCACATATGTAGGGTGCATTTCTCAGGTGTATTTTATTATATTTTTTGGTTGCCTTGACAGCTTTCTTCTCACAGTTATGGCATATGACAGATATGTGGCTATCTGTCATCCTCTCTGCTACACCACCATCATGAGGGATGAATTTTGTATCATCCTAGTGATTGGAACCTGGTTTGTCTCTTGTGCCCATGCTCTGTTTCACACCCTGCTCATGGTTAGGTTGTCTTTCTGTGCAGGAACTATCATCCCTCACTTCTTTTGTGATCTTATTGTGGTGCTCAAAGCCTCCTGATCAGATACCTCCCTCAATGATTGGCTTATCCTCACTGATGGAGGATTGTTCTTATTCCTGCCATTAAGTGTTATCTTGGGCTCATACACTCGCATAGCAGTCACCACCCTAAGGGTCCCCTCCTTCAAGAGAATCTCCAAAGCCTTGTCTACATGTGGCTCCCACCTCTTTGTAGTGTCTTTATACTATGGAACGCTTGCAGGAGTTTACTTTTTGCCCTCATTAGATAACTCCAAAGACAAGGACATCATTTCTTCTGTGATGTACATTGTGGTCATGCCCATGCTGAACCCCTTCATCTATAGCCTGAGGAATAAGGATATGAAATGTGCCTTTTTGAAGTATGTCAGGGCCAAGGGCATCCATTAGTATTGTCATTCAATCCTGCCATCATGGTGTAAAATATGTCTTCTGGAGAACTTCCATCAATGATATCATTCTTTGCTCAGTTTCTGTTTCCATTCATGTTTTTTCTCACCTCCTTGTTCTTTTTTTTTTCCCCCTGAATTCTGTGTGTTAATTCACTTTCAGGAAAACTCCAAGTGCCCCTGTGCTATTCACTGCAAGCCGTGAGTCTTTGCAACCTCTTCCCCAGGCTTCAGGAAATTTTCTTATCACTATTTTCTTTTCAATAACGCTATCAGTCTGGTAGTTATTGACACATATTCATGTGACTTTTCTTAATACCACCAAACTTCATTTGTTTCAGGTGGGAGGAATTCAGAGGGGATTACCAAACTGATTTATCTATAGAGCAATAATTATTACAACTGCCACTAATTAAGTATTTAAATATATTTTTTACTTACTCTTCAAAACAGTCCTCTTCAACAGATTATTTTGATCAATTGAACTGGGAAGAAATGTTGACATATTGAAATGTTCATTTCATAAGCTAAACAATGTCATTGAATGTATATAAAAAGTAAATTAATTAAAAAATAATCTGGAAAAAATGATGAAAAGCTATTTGATGATGATGTGGATAGTAATGTCTTTGTCTTGACTGATATTCAAGGATTTTCTTTGTCATAAATAAAATAACTG